AACACTGCATTAATGTTAAGTGGCTCAGTTTTTCTTTCTCATTTACAGTAATATATAATATATAAATAGCGCATACGTCCAACTAGAATAACTTATACGCATCGGGACATCCTATCACATAAAAGCTTCACTTACCGGTACTTTGCAATCTCTCCTGTCATTTTCATCAAGATAAATGAATCCTCATTTTTCGTTATATGTCTGTATAAGTTCAAGCTTAGTGATTCAGCCATGTGTTACGATCAGCATTCCTACAAATGATAAAAACTTGTTCACAAAAAGAAAACAGCAAATGTACCGGCCACAAAAGGTAAGAGAATAGTTTGCAGAGCAGCTTGATTAATGGTCCACAAGGAATAAACTGTTTGTATATTTGAGTCACGGGTGGCTGCTTACTAGAATCCACCAGTGTTTGTGGTCCCTTTGACAGCATCTCATTGTGATCGCATTTCACGCTCAGTTAGACAGCTGTCGAAGGTCTGATAGGCCTTGATTTCAATTATGGCACGCCGTATGCAAATCAACTCACTAGCGCCGCCTTTGCACTCATTGAAGGAAGCCATCGCTATTAGGCCAGTTGTGAAGTGAATAACGTAAAGTGCTTCCGGCTATGCATCTGGTTATGTGGCTGTTCTTGAAACCAATTTAGAAAAATAACGCACCAACAATTTAAACTTAAATGGCTGGTATAGACAGATAAACGTTGTTCTACAGGTACGTATCATTCGTTGCTTATTTCAGTTCTCCAGGTAAGTGCGGCTCGAACACATTCTTAATGGTCGAAGGTGCGGTGTAGCTCTTGCTGAGGAAATTACACTCTTTTCCGTAATAGACAATCCCATAGTTTTGCTATCAGCACTTTTTTGTGGCAGAGAAGCAGTAAAGTTCTTAATGTTTGTGAATGAAAGTCGGTTTGAGCAGACAGTTATTCATAATACTTGCGGGCTTCTTTTGAACACCTAAACGATTTTGAAGCTCTAATTAGAATGTTTTGAAAATGCATAGTTTGCGACTTAAGACTAAGTTCATACATTTTATAAAGCTGGGCGAAAGCACTGTGCAATTAGCAATGCACCATCCACCTATTCTACATGTGCGAATATGAATTCTGAATTTCCATAACGAGCTTCCGCTATTTTAATAAATGTACAGCTTATAGCTTCCTTTATCAATAATATACTTGAAA